AAGCTATTATTAATATAGTGACACCTTAGATCAAAAACATTAAATACTGGCTCAAATATGATAATCTAACTTTAAAGCTGATCATTTTTGTTTGTTCATTGCTGGTGAAGACGTGAACGATTCAGCGACCTCACACCTGTAAAATTAGCTCCTACATCTGTTTCTCGCTGTGGTCGGTATGGTGACGTGACAAGCCGTGGTGGCAAAAATACCTAACCGTCATCAACCGCAGCTCGCCGTCTTAAAGCACCTTTAAATGGAAGCAGGTGGAGGCGTGTCGCTGAAACTTTAAGGTTCAAATCCTGCAATGTCAGAATCTGAACCAACATCTTAGACAAACACTTTCAGGATGTCATTTCACCACAAAACGCTGCAGCTTGTCCTGCAAAAATCAGCTCAAACAACAACCACAAAATCATGATGTCATCCCGCCTGGAGCCTCAGAGAAGCTCCAGCTAATCACACATCCAATCCGGCCCGGCTGTAATCCAGCAGCCGACTACACCAAAAAAAAAAAAAAAAAAGGTTTCCTGAAGCAAACGAGGTCAAGTTGTGGAAGCTGTGGGAGCAGAGCGGAGCAGCGAGGGAACAGTCCTGGAAGAGGAGGAGGTTCATTCACAACACATGCTGAGGAGGACGGCGAGGGGGAGACAGACCGGCAGGGAAACTTTCCAAGCCGGCTTTGTCCGTGTCTAGACATAACGCAGAGGGAGGAAAAAGGATCAGCAGATTCTGCCCCCCCCCCCCCCCTCTCACAGTTTACCTTCTTTTATTTCTATGTTCCAAATGTTGTGCCCGAGACTTTCAGTGACAGATTTATAAAAAACAAAACAAGTATTATGTTTCCAGCTGGAGTTTGAGCACAATGAGCCACAATTATCGGGTTTGCTTCAGAGACCACGAAGCACAGCCTGGGGTTTCTTTTACTTTGCTTTACAAGAATAAACTTGAATTCTCACTGAATGAATCAGAAATAGCTATGAACTGTTTGCTCTGCAGCGTTTCCATCATCTGTCAAATTTAAGTTACTGATAGATGGAAGTATTTGGAAAATGTAGATGCAAGTTTCTGTCTCCTAATATCTCTACTTCAGGTCCAATTACAAGTTGGTGCTGTAATATAGAGGGCTACAACTAACTTATTGTCATTAATTTAATCTGTCAGTTATGTCTATACTATAAAAAGTCAGTAAATAGTCACAATATCATAAACCTAAATTTAATGATACGAAATTTCCTTTTTTTGTCCAACCAACATCCCAAAATCCAAATATTTCTACTTTATTATCATATAAATGAAGAATGAGAAGCTGAAGGTTGCAAATGTTTGGCCTTTTTGTTTCAACAATTTATTCAGTTCATCATTGTTGGGTCATGGTATTTCAGTGCTAGTACCACGTGCTACGCTAATAAGATTTAAAAACGAAACAAACAAAACATTATTTTGACTGTTAAGTTGTCGTTTAGCTAAGAATGCAATCTTAAATATTTAATATCTTAAATATTCTGTTTTAACTGATTTATACTCTGCTCACAACCTTTAGCACAAGGTGGAACCACATTTGAAGGGAAAAGGGAAAAGCTATGAAATATTTTAGTGCCTGTTTTTGAATGTATAAATGAAAAGCCTGCATCCTCATTTGATTAACAGCTGTCGTATCATCACCAACTTTCCAATTGACACAGAGAAACTGTGATTAATCATGGACAATTCAGCACTTAACAGTATAAATCTGACTTATTCCCTCTGGTACGTCCTTGTGATAGGTTACTGATCTAAATGAGTCTTTATTTTTCCAGGTCCACCAGGAGAAAGCCGGACAGGCCCTCCCGGCCCTTCAGGCTCTGCCGGACCTCGTGGTCCCCCCGGACGTCCAGGATACGCCGGAGTCCGCGGACCCCCGGACCTCCTGGATACTGCGACTCTTCTCAGTGTGTCGGTATTCCTTACAACGGGCAAGGATACGGAGGTACGTATAATGGAACTGCACAGGATGCAGTAACCTGCTGTCAGAGTATAAAATAACATCCTGTGACTGCTAAACGTGCAAATAATCAGCTGGTGGGTTCTTCAGTTTGGGATAAAACTTTCCAAAAAGGAACATTATGACATTTTGTGAGATAAATTTGATTTCTGTCTCCCACGGAGTCAAAAATGAGATTATGGATTGAGTGCAAAGAAAGTAGGTCCAGGACATGTTTAGCCTAGCTTAGCACAAAGACTGGAAGCAGGGGAAACTGCTAGCCTAGCTGACTCATATCTTGATAATGAACAATCTAGTAAATAATCCATCCAACAGTCACTGCTAAGAGCTTAATACTGTTTTGGCATCAGCTCAAATGCGTCTGCTAGGGACTGTCAGTTGGCACGGATCATAAACAAAATCCTTAATGATTTAAATTATGATTTGGCAGATTTGTATTTTACAGAAAGTTCTGCTTTCTTTTGATAATTTAAAAAGGGGTTTGTAGACATGATTACTTCTCAAAAACTCAGGTATAAGTACCAGTATAGAGAATTTCAACAAACTTTCAAATTAACCTCAAAATGGAGCTAGGCTTGCAGTTCCTCTGTTTCCAGTCTTTATGCTAAGCTAGGCTAATCATGGAATAACAGTGTGCTGCATTTCAATCACTCTAAAGTGTTCCTACTCTCTTTTTAAGTTGTCATACCTGGTTGTTACCTACATACTGCACTGATATCCATCATTTCATGTGACTCTGGTTCAAGGCCCTTATCCACTGTAGAAACAATTTCACAGGTTCGATGCATATCACACCATGCAAACGTCAAATAAAATCTTGATTATTAATTTTGAGGTGTGTCAGACATCTACACTACCAGTCAAAAGTTATAGAACACCCCCATTTTTCTAGTTTGTATTGAAATATAAGTAGAGGTCCAGTTAAAAACCTAAAAAAAAAGGTACAAAATTTAGCGGCAAACTCCCAAAGTTAAAAATGTTTACGTCACCAAAACAGACATTTTCAGATATAAAATTAACAGTTAGATGAAAGAGTTTTGTTCATTATTTCATTGTAGGATCAACTGATTGCCAGCTGCTCTGTCTAATATAGAACAAATAAAGTTTGAGGGTGCATTAACAGGCCTTTCCAAGGTGTTTGAAAATTAGTTTTTTTGCAGCAACTTTAATTGTAGCAGATCCTTCCATTGCTGCAGAATACCCAACCAATTTCAGAGATATACAATTTTCAGGGATCAAGTGTGAACAACTTCCAAATTATTCTGCAGAAATGGAAGGAAATGAAGCTAGAAAAACTAGTTCTAATACTTTTGACCGGTAGTGTTTACGTCTAAAATCTCTCTGACTGTCGTTTACTGTTGTATTTAGATTGGTTTGTCTGGTACAACCCAGAGTCACACAGTGTTTAGGGGCCTTAAGACGGCAAACAAGGGTTTCCCAAAATGTTGGGTGTGCTTTTTAATGAGGATTAATGCATGTGTGGAAACAGTCTTGAAACCTGTAGTCACTAATCTTTAGAAAAAGTTGTGTATTCGCTCTGCTTTGACCAAACTGACACCTTCTGTCCTCTTTGGCCTGTTTCAGGTTCACAGTAGACTTTCTATGCTGCTTTCACTGACTTCCTGAAAAAAAAACTCAAAACGTCCTGTAACTTGCTCACACGCTCTAGAGCTGTTTTTAAAAAGGATAACCGCCAAAAGGAAACCATTAACAAACTTTGCTGAAAAACAACACCAACAAAGAGGGAAACCAGTACTAACAACGACTCACAGCCAGTAGAACAAAACCCCACCTGCACAGCGGTGATGGCACCGACCTGCTTAGTGGCCTGTTTGCATCTAGAAGCCAAAGACCAAACAAAGAAACGTGTTCAGTGGAGGAGCATGCACCAAACAGCATCAACAACAACAACCAACCCAAACAAATACTAACAAAAGGTGGATTTGTAACAGAGTGCAACTACCACAGCATCGCCAGCAACAACAGCACCAACAACTCTGTTAACAGCATTTCTCTCCAGGTGACGTGTAAATAAACTAATTTGTGCCTTGTAAATGATGTTTGAATCAAGTCCACTAAATTTAGTTTTTAACATCTGTAGTTTTAAAGCTTGTGCCTTGCAAACAACAACAACCTGCTGCTTGCTGAATGCCAACAAAAACGCCTCTTTTTCAAATTTTTATTTTGTTTTCCTGCCCATGTGTTAGTAGCTGTTTTTTAAACTGCTCAGGGCCAGTCTACACATGTGACCCCTGGAGGTTTAGTTTTGCCATTTAAAAAATGAATCTAGCTTTGTTTTATTTTACTTTCCTCCCTGACATGTATCTGTATGTTGTTATAAAAAAAACTACTAATTATGCCACTCCAAAGAAGAGTCTCCAGGCTGGTGGTAGAAGAAGTTGATTTATATGCAGAAATGTTTTACTGTTTTATTTTGTAAATGAATGAGTTGTGGAGAAAAGACAGCTTTGATAAAACCTGAACTTCTAACAGCAACAGAAAGGGAAAAAGCACTGAAATGTTTACCAGGGGCGTGTTCAAAGGAGCCTTGGGTGACCTACCCCCATCCCACCAGATCATTCACCTGCTAAATCAAGGGTTTAAGTGCACTCCTGAAAGTTAAGGATAATTTACTTAGCCTTCTCTTTTAAAAACAGTATCCTGATATAAAGAATCTTATGCTGATGTGTACTGTATGACTGTACTGTATAACTTTAAGTCATAATAACCTGCAGCCTGTTGAACTAATAACTGCTACGTTACTATGTCTAGTTAGTTTTACTTAAATGCATGATTTCAGCCCGTTTCTGACCCTATTTGAGTCAAAAGACTCATTTTAGAGTAAAGTTCACCAAATTTCGATAGAGCCACGAGAAGATTCCCCACGATCAGCGCCATTTTTCCCCCCTCACAGCGCCAGCGCAAAAGTGGTGAGCGCCGTCTAATAATGTCCACACAATGCTAGCTGCCAAGTTAACGATCTAAGCGTAGCTAGCTTACCTCCAATTACCTCTGCAAAATGGACAAGCCACGCTGTCAACGCCTTCCTAGCCACCTAGTCCATAAAAACCACCACTGTTGATTCTCGCAGCAGCCATCTTGGATCATGAAGTCGGCGTAGTGCAGTTCTCCCGACTTTCCATGTCAAATGGAACGCACCATTTTCATTGCAGACTGGAATTAAACAGCAAGTTGTCTAAAATCATACCGTGCAGCATTCAGATAAAATGGGAGAGAGACTAACTAGTGACAGGACGTAAGAGACGTACAATACTGTTTAATTATAAAGGATAAAATATCACATTTTTATTGAAATGTGTTATTAGGCAACACTATCAATCACTTCAAATCACCTATTAAATCTACTAAGATTAAGCTTTCAATCTTACTGCATGATAATTACATTAAAATAACAGTTGTAGCTTATTAACTTTTACACCTCATTTTTCACAATCTACTTGTTACAAATTTTTAGTCCTGATTCATAACATTAACATATAACAGTGAATGACTTTGAATTGTGAATTTTAAGTTGCATTGTCACTCTATTGTAACTAACATGTATTGTGCAAACTGATGTACCGTACCTCCTACACTACGTCTGCAAATAATGATTATTCATTATTATTTTATCTGCTGATTATTTTTAACCATTAATCATTTGTTCAACAGAATGTAAACAAGAGCAGCAAATCCTTAAAACTAAAAACCAGAGAATGTTTGGTGTTTTCGTATTAAAAATGATTTGACTACTTGATTACCAAATTGTTGCTGATTAATTGTCTGTCGATCGACTAATTGCCTCAGCTCTAGTTTGAACTTTCACACAGTTGGTGCAACAGCATGCTGGTTAAACTACATAAGTTAGCCAGGCTAATGTTGTTAGCTTTGTTAGTTCGGTAACTCCAGTCCACAAATATTAGTTTTCAGCAGACATTGATAAACCAGTGATCAAAAAATGGGGACAAATTGTACCTGTAACACCTGCTGTATCACATCAGACGCTCCTCAAAACGTCCCCAAAAATACTGTGGACACACCCCTGCTGTTTACTAACCATCTGTGTCAGTGCTTTAGGTCGTCAGTCAGATGCAACGCTACATTTTAAACACGTTCTTTTTGTGCATGCTGAGTAAAACTTACGCTCAATTGGCCCGAACGCTATCTCCGAGCAGGCCAATACCCACCTGAACCCGACACCAGAGTAGCCCCAGTCCCCGAGGAGGAAGAGCTGTCGCAAAACCAGCGTCGAAAGAGATCACTATCAAGAAAGGCTTCCAGCAGGCCAACATCTTAAGACAAGCCATGCTGTCTTTTTTTTTTTTTTTTTTTCTCTTGTTCAAACTGTGTTTGTTGTTGGATTTATGCACATTTATACACAAAAAAATGGGGTTTGACACCTCGACTCTATTGGAAATGACCTTTTTAAATGCCTTAAAAACGTATGTGAATATAAATTTTTGTGGCAGTGGGAAAGGTGTGGACAGAGGGAGGGAGTTTGGGGGCAATGGATTTAACAACAAATGGGAGAAAAATGATGTTCCATAAAAACAACAACCTGTGAGCTTTCTTTTTCCCCCACTTGTGTCTTATGCTTGTAACA